TCATTTATCTCAGTTTTGAAATTTCTGTCTGTCTGTTCGACCGAACCAACCGAATAACAATATTGTGCATTTTGTAGCGCATTGACATTTTGGTACTTTTTTTGAAATTCTAATGTGCATATTCACTGACTTTGTTGTGCACTTTATTTATTGTTATCATGCATTTAGTTTTTATTATAAATTACGTATCTGCTAACCCATGAACTAAAGTGTAATATATTATAATTATTAAATATTGCATAAAAGTCCTTACACCTTATCTAATTTAAAAAATTTAACCCAGTCCCAATTCATCCCCAAAAGTCATCTCTCTCGACCACCTTTCAAATTCAGCAGACAGCCCTGCCGCCGACCACCGGACAAATGCTCATTGTCACCCTGTCCGACCAGAGTTCGACTCCATATTCGGCGGCGACATCACAAACTGCCTCAAACAAAAGTTTTGCCCATTCCCGCCGAAAGAGTGAATCGCCGCCTGCCGGCTCCGCAACCGGACAATTTGCCCTGAAATTCATATTATCGTCATATTTGAAGGCTGTGAGGTTCTTTAACCTTCCAATGTTTCTTTGGATCTCGCCGAGGAAGCACCCGCTAGATCCGTGACCGGTGCTCGCGGCTCGACATATTATCGATTTCCTATGAGATTTCGCCTTCGAGCGAGATGTTGTGGTCGTACCTTGAGACATACAGCGACGGTGGTGGTAATATAGTGGGAGACATCGGAGGTCGACAATGGCGAGTTCTGTTGTGAACCGCCGACGGTCTGTGGTGTCGGTAGCAGGGTTGATGGGGGATGATGGCAGCGTCGAACTGTGGTGACGATATTGACGTAATCGGCTGAGCTGTTGGCTGTAGGCGGAGGAGGGCTGTTGGTGGCGGTGGTGGCTGTTTGTAGTATTTTTGGGTAAGTGGTAACCGAGCTACCCGGACTCAGGTCGTTCTCAAAGGAAAGCTATTCAGACACGGATTCAAGCAACGATTGACTCACACTAAAGAAAGATAAAAAGTCCTAAACATTCTACTCGCATTTTGGTGGTTGAATTACGCTAAAATCA